AGTCCAGTAACATATAATCAGTCCAGTAATCAAGGTTTGCTAACAGTTGCAAAACCTACCATAGCTCACAGCACTCAGATCAGATCAGCCCAGCATCTAACAAACAGAAAGAGAGCTAACGGACATTCTGGCTCCCTCTTATGGCCGATTGAGTAAAACAACAGCCAATCACATTTTACAGTATGCTTTAAAGAAACAGATACAACATTGTTACATGATTTATATATTGCCAACCCAACCATTAGAATTATATTCCTAACAGGGGGCCATTCCAAGCATGTCCAACAATTGTCAGGAAAGTTATTCTTGAAACTGGCAGTGGATTGTGACAATCAAACATGCTTCCATTTTAGAAACTGACATGGAAGAAACGGGAATTCTGGAATTTTGCATGATAAATTTTGCACACATTTTCCACCAAATATCCAGGTATAGCAGTGGTGGGCTCCTACTGGTTCAGCCCGGTTTGGTCAAACCAGTAGTGGTATGCCAGCCTGGATTGCAGAACCAGCAGTAACCCAGACTTGCCACACCTCTGAAACAGTTCCCCGGTCGCCACAGTCACCGTCGGCACCTTGTTTTTGAGTTTTGCGCATGCACAGAACAATTTCTATTGAACTGTGCCTGCATGTGCACAGCGTGTGCACACAAAGCATGCCCACTTGTGAACTGGCAGTAATGCCAGCTAGAACCCACCCCTGAGCTATAGCAGCAACCTTTTGAATGTCAAAATGAACATGGGCAACTCAAGTGATTTTGCTTCTCTCTCCTCTTAAATCTTGCCTGCTGTTTCCTACTCCCCCATGTCACATCCTCTGATATTCTTGGAACAGAACCCTTCTATACTTCACAAAACTCCTCCATTGCTATTGCTGAATTAAAAAGACCACATCTCTGAAGCCTGTCTCTGAAGGCACTTAGCCTGATGCAGAATTTGCAAGGGAGGGGATACATAAGGAGTAAATGATAAAAAGATGGGAGATTTTCCCCACCTGGTTCTGCCCATGGTGCCTCATGATGGCTTCCTTGTTGATGCTGAATTTCACTCCTGCAGATCCTTCTCTTGCTAGACTCCCAAGTTTCACATGGGTGCCTGACCTATTATGGAAACCCACCCAACTCACAAGGTCAAAGTCAGCCATCAAATCTCCATTCCCATCCAAATACATTCCTTGCATGGTGTTGTTGTAGATCTGGGGATTCTTCAGGAAATGGTGGAGCTACAGAGTGTGAGGAAAGGAACATCAAGTTGGTATACAGAGACAGAGGGAATTTGATTTTTTGAACTGCAGCAGAGGTGGTATTCAGCAGGTTCTGACCAGTTCTGGAGAACCAGTAGTGGAAATTTTGAGTAGTTCGGAGAACCAGTAAATACCACCCCTGACTGGCCCCACCCCTATTTATTCTTTGCCTCCCGAGTCCCAGCTGTTGGGGAGAAAATGGGGATTTTGCAGTAACCTTCCCCTGGAGTGGGGTGGGAATGGAGATTTTACAGTATCCTTCTGCTGCCATGCCCAACAAGCCACACCCACCATTCCATGGTATGCCCACCAAGCCACGCCCACACAACTGGTAGTAATTTTTTTTTTAATCCCAGCACTGAACTGCAACTTGTATTCTTATCAGGACAATTCCCATAGATTTTTCCTTAAGGTGCTAATAGGGAATATATTCTTCACAGAATCTGGCATCCCAACTCCCCTTTATCCCTGTTTTATTGTTTATTTCTCCCTTTGGTCCTCTCGAAGGTAAATAGACAGAAGAAGGGCCAAAAGTCACCTGTAAAAGATCACCTATGAATATGCTTACTTACATCCCCTGTTGCCTATGCATTAGTTTCCCCATCTTCTCTGTGAAGTATCAATAGGGTCATATCCTTTTGTCTGTAGGGATGTATCTCAATATTAGGGAGCCCCTATTTGCTCATCAAGCCCCTATTGTGAGCTATGGTGGTGCAGTGGTTAGAATGCAGTACTGCAGATTACTTCTGCTGACTGCTGGCTGCCTGCAATTCAGCAATTCGAATCTCACCAGGCTCAGTCTCCCATCTTTCCCAGGTTGATAAAATGAGGACCCAGATTGTTGGGGGAAATATGCTGACTCTGCAAACTACTCTATAGGGCTATAAAGCACCATGAAGTAGCATGTAAATCTAAGTGCTATTGCTATCAAACAGCAAACACTGCAATGTGCCTTGATTATTTATTTTGGATCCTGTGTTTTGCTTCCACAAGAGAGAAGATGTAGAAAACACAGTATCAGTTTGGATATTTCAGTGCTGGAAATATTGATTGGTATTCGAAATTTGGGAAGCAAAGCATCAATGGTTGTAATCAACTGTTCCATGTACTATTATCTGAAGGAAAGCTTAAAATATCAAGTAAGGAGTGACTAATATATTGGTTTGGGCACTTTTTGGGTGCCCCTACAAGGATGTACACTGACAATCATACAGTGTTGCATTGGATTGTAATATACTGGGAGAGAATCTAAATCCTTTTTCTAAGTGGAAATTCTAGAATCTGAAGAAAGAAAAAATGTGGAAATGTTGTAGTGGTGTGTGTGACAATATCAGCAAGGAACAATTTGTTGTTTGGCACCGTGGGAGATCAAATGGTAAAAGAAGGATGAACCAAGGGATTTCATGAAAATATATGATCCATTAAAGCAATTTCTCTCAATATATTTCACATTTCTCAAAGACGGTGTCACGCCTGGAGGCCATCTTTAGCTTTTTGTGAAGGCAGATAGACTAGTCAAGCAATTCCATGACAAATACCCTGATAAGCCAAAGGGTCCCCCCACTGGGGGGAAGGTGGTTAGGCTCTTGATTTTAACCCCCTGTGTTATTCACATTACAGGACACAATCTTCTGATGGGGGGGGGGGGTTGCTGCCTGTCAGGCCTGGCAGCCATCTTTAGCATTGGGCTGTCAGATTTAATGCTGCCACATTTAATGCTGTGGGAAATTTGGAGGGGGGATTATATAGAGTGGGATAGATATAGTCAAAACAACATCTCTTTCTCAGAGAGTCAAGGACATCTTGCCCTGCATCTGGAGGGGTGTAGTTGGGAGGCATATCCAGTTGGGACAGTGTCTGATTGGGCCCTGTGATGGACATGTGGGTGCTGGGCAGGGACTTGGACTTTCATTTAGGTGGAGAAAACTTGGGAACTTTCAGATTTGGGTTTTCCCAGATGTGCCAATATGACATCTCTAATAAAATGGAACTTTGAGGAACCTCAAACCTCGGAGTCTTCTTTCATAAGGTTGTCACTTGGAATCCTGACATTGGGTTTTGTGATTTTCACCATCTATACCGCACACTTAGCAATAAACATGAAACCTGTAGGAATACGAATAGGTATTTCTATTCCATGGGAATACCTGCCATGGTTGGATCTTTTCAACTTCCAGCCTGGTTTTTCTCTTCATTATGGTCCTTTGGGATTCGGATGAATAGGCCGCATTTAAGGCATGTGCCACAATCTGGATGGCATTGTAAGTTAAGGAGCTATCTAGAGAAAAGATCTTGTCAACCTTCTCTTGAGGTAGACTCCCCATGCTCTTTCCTTCTATACACCTCGTCCAGCCTTTCAAAGACAAGGCAGTCTTCCCATATGAACAGTGAAAATTTCTAATGATAAATGCTTTGATTAAAAAATAGAAATCTCTGAAATCTTCAGATTTGCTCCTTTGGCTGGTCTGGATACGAAAAGAAAAAATATTACGGGTGTATTTTAAAGAGAAAGTGTTGTATGATAATTCAATGGAGAGATCCCACAAAGCGGTTGTGATCCAAACCTTTCCTATGACAGGTTTTTTCACAAAGTTCAATACAATTTCTACAAACACTTCTCCCTCTACAAATGTAAATTCTGCATAGTAAACAAAGACATTGATTTGGTGCCACGTTTTGAAAATAGAAATCAGATTACTGAAGTTCTCAGTATCTAGCAATGTGATTTGTGAAAAAGCAGCACAAATGCCATTCTGGGCCAGCACAGAATTGAAGGTCCTAATGAAATGTTCTCCATTATCGGTGTCTGCAGCAAGGAGGCCAATGAACGTCCATTGAAAATATAGCAGCAGTTTAACAATTCCCAAGTTCTGAGCACCTTCTTTGGGGACGGTCCGATAAAAGAAAGGTAATTGAGTTTTATCACTAAGGAACGGTGAAATAAAAGTGTAGCTGATCTGGGGAAAAAAAAGATGGTTTGTGTTTGATTTTAGGATTTTACAAAGTCAAAGTGTTGGATTATAGGGGAAAAAAGGAGTCAGAGCATAGACAGTGACTAAAAAAGAGCTACATTCAAAGGAACTATATTGTACTGATCCAATAATATCTGATTGCATCTAAAGAAGATCAGTGTTTCCCAGGTATTTTATCAGGCAAGGTGTTATAAGGAAGATGCATGAGTCTTTATAGAAGATACAGTACAGTAGGATGTGATATTTGAGGGATTGCCACAAAGAAGTGGGTGGGTGGGGGGAATGTCAACCTATTTTCCAAAACAAATTTCCAAATTTAAGAAGCAATGGAAGGAAACTAATCAAGGAGAGAAGCAACCTAGGACTAAAGAGAAGATTCCTGACAGAACCATTAATCAGTGGAACAGCTTGCCTTCAAAAGTTGTGGGTGCTCCAACACTGTAGGTTTTTAAGAGACTGGATATCCATTTGTCTAAAATGGTACAGGGTCTCCTGTTTGAGCAGGGGGTGGACTAGAAGATATCCAAGATCCATTCCAACTCCGTTATTCTGTCAAAATGAGAGCTGTAGTTTCGATGGCCCCTTTGTCCACAGGGGCACAATCTCAGCTCGTGAAAGATGAAATAAAGAAGGACTGCTCATCTTAACTCATGCTTAAGATTTTTAAGATGGAAAACTCCTTGAAAAGCTCTGGAGTAAATATGGAGAGGCATTTGTCTGCTTTATACCTGTGGGATTTTGTAGATGCCCAACATGGCAGCCATGATGATGGCTATGTCAGAATTGGTCTCTTCCAGGAGAACCAGCATGTTTCTCTTCCTTCCGCAGCTGTAGTTAGGAACATTGGCTTCCCCGGTCGAAAGCAAATCCAACAGACCATCCAATGTCAATCTTCTGTCTCGAAAGTTGTCATGGAGGTTGTAGCCCAGGGTGAGGTTGGGTAAGAGGAGTGGGTCTTTGTTGATTTCCTGAATGGCAAAAAGGAAGGACAGAATTTTCCAGTACATCACAACTGCTTTCCTGAAAAGATATGTACATTATGCTATGATGTTATATTCAACAAAAATAATACATTTCTTCTGTCCTAATATAACTGTACAAGTCTTTGACCCAATTCTTCATCTCAGCATCTACTTTTTAAAAGCCAAAGCAGAAGTCCCCTAGAAAATCTGTGCATTGTTGTCACTTGCTCTCTCTCGCTCTCTTTCTCAACCTCAAACTGTGAAGTCAAAAAATGTCCCAGGAAAAGTGAACTGGTTCTGAAAATGTAGCTGAGAAACCTGCAGGGATCTCTCCATGTATGGACCTCTCCAAGCTCAGACTGCCCAAGGAGCTGCTGATTCTGTTTTTCAGAGGAATTATTGAATCTGTCATGTGCACCTCCATAACTGTCTGGTTTGGCTCTGCAACTCAACAAGACAGACACAGACTTCAACAGACAGTTAGAACTGCAGAAAAAAACAATTGCTACCAACCTGCCTTCCATTGAGGACCTGTATATTGCACAAGTCAAAAAGAGGGCTGTGAAAATATCTACATACCCCTCATGTCCTGGACATAAATTATTTCAACTTCTACCCTCAAAATTATGCTATAGAGCACTGCACACCAGAACAACTAGACACAAGGACAGTTTTTCCCCCCAAATATCATCACTCTGCTAAACAACTAATTTCCACAACACTGTCAAATTATTTATTAAACTGTATTACTATTCTTCTTCTCATCCTTCCTATTACTTATCTCCTCTCACTTATGATTATAACCTTGTTGCTTGCATCTCTATGATTTAAATTGTTTTGTTTCCTAGTATGATTTGATTGCTTATTTAGTAATCTATGACTATCACTAAGTGTTGTATCTAATGATTCTCAATGAATGTATTTTTTTATGTACACTGAGAGCATATGCACCAAAGACAAATTCCTTGTGTGTCCAATCACACTTGGCCAATAAAGAATNAGTTAGAACAATTAACCAGTGGAACAACTTGCCTCCAGAAGTTGTGAATGCTCCAACAATGAATGTTTTTAAGAAGATGCTGGATAACCATTTGTCTGAAGTGGTATAGGGTTTCCTGCCTAAGCAGGGGGTTGGACTAGAAGACTTCCAAGGTCCCTTCCAACTCTGTTTATCTATTCTAAATATGATCCCAGCCTGTTTTAAAGAGGCACTCATCAATAATCCATTACTGGACCCTACTGGACAATTTTCATCCAGTCTCTCCAAATAACTCGCCAACCTCACCACTAAAATATCTGACCTGTCTCACAAATAAAATTGTTTTGTAATTATTAAGATCCACCAGATGGCTAGAAGAAAGTAAATTTTACACACAGACACACAGACACACACACTTGGGTATTCAAAGTTTTAAAGAGTTTATTGGTGAATAAATGATCCTTTTAAAATGCCTCTTTTGCATTGCAGCCATTTTTCTCCTATTGTTACCTGAAAATCAGGCACCCTGAATTTGGCATGGAGCTAATTAAATCTATTACAATGAATTTGAGAGGCAAAATAGCACTATTTGCCTTTGCAAAAGTAACTTTTTACTCCAACCAACAATAATACAAATCACAGCAAAGTTTTTAAAAAACCATTTATTAAATGAGGGAGGTGGTGTCAAGTCTTTTGATTGTGTACAGAAAGAAATGATACATATATTTAATTTGTGTGATACATCAGAAATCAACTAATCAGAAATAAAAAAATGACTACATGTAAGAATTGAATAGAAAACATTGATTACAGATTTCTCAAATGGTATATTTACAGGTTACATCATGCCCCTTCCCAGGTGGGTAGGTATGCTACTTAAAACTTGCAACTTTATTCAAGAACTTTCAAAATATTCTCTCTATAGTTTAGTGACTGAAAAAGTTAGTTCACACAAAGTATAAAAATGCCCTTGATTCAGAAGAAAAATGTGATTTCCTAATGGAAAAAAATTGCCATATTAAAATGCTAATATGTCCTTACTTAAAAGCTGGTAATGAAACTCAAAATGCCAGGTAATATGGCCTGACATAGAAAGATAAAAACATGGAAATTGGGCTTAAGCAGGAGATCACTTTAAAAAGCAGTCTGAGAAATCAGGTTTTCCCATGAGAAGTACCTAATTATGAATTAAAATATTAGGTCCCCGGATATAATATATCCCCAGAACATCCATGAGAATCAGTTTTCTATTTCACTTCTCAACATCAGTTGTTGCTTTGTATTCAAATCTGGCCTCAGCACAATGATGTAACATTTAGGGATGAAGATGCAACCCAGCAGCCCAGCACNTCTCACTTATGATTATAACCTTGTTGCTTGCATCTCTATGATTTAAATTGTTTTGTTTCCTAGTATGATTTGATTGCTTATTTAGTAATCTATGACTATCACTAAGTGTTGTATCTAATGATTCTCAATGAATGTATTTTTTTATGTACACTGAGAGCATATGCACCAAAGACAAATTCCTTGTGTGTCCAATCACACTTGGCCAATAAAGAATAAAGAAAGAAGAATGTAGGAACCAGAATGTAGGAATTCACTCAAAAGACTGTAATACAAATGTTATATGAGCATAGTGTGCATGTTTTTATATGTAGGAATGAGTGTGCAGATGACTGAGATAGGGCAGAAAATAAAACATTTAAGAACTGAACAGAAGCACCAGGTTGTCCATTTTCTCTTGAGTAAATAGTCTTCATCCCTGATTGCTTGAGAGAGAGGACAGAGGAACTGCTCAAAACACTTTGGTATCAGTGGGACCAGAGGTGAGTCAAGATGGAGCATCTTAGGATGACCATTCCCACATTGAGGAAACAATAAATGGATGCTGATCTGGCAGTGGTGAGTTTAAAGAAATCCATAGACCTTTGAGGAAAGCCATGCTGGAGCATCTGGGAGAATGTCTGGAGGTACCTGAGCTGATGGCTGATGCCTCTGAACTTCTTCCAGAACTGTCCTTCTGGAAGACACAGAACTGTCTTCTAGGAAAGACTCAGAAAAGAAGTCAGACATTTCTCTCAGTTGGGATTCACCAGGACTGACCAGTGAGAGCTTCCTGTCCTTTTCTTTGATAGACAAGCTGAAACCCTGATTGTGAACTCCCGAGCCTTGAAAGATCAAAGCACATAGTCTACATAGAGATCAGTTTGACATAAGGATGCTGAACATTAAAGCTTGTTTTTGTGTTATCTGCTGCATGTATTGCACTTCATATGGTTTGTATACAAATGGACTGAAATCTAACATTCTCCCTCCCCACATTCTTTCTCAAAGGCAATATAAGAACATTCAACATTTTGTGACTTACTCATTAACCTCTGTAGAAGGACTCAAACTGAAATTGTGCAGCTGTAATTGTCGAATATTTGTTGCAGAGAAGAGCCCACCAATGAGATGGTCTCCTGGCCTGTAATAATTGAGTGGATCTCTTGCATCCCTTCCCAAAGTCAAGAAGCACTGGGTGCCCAGCATCACACATACTGCCTGAGGCAACCAAAGCTCCACCAGAAGCAGAAACAGTGGGATCATTTCTGGTTTAGCTGAAGGAATCCCTTGCCTTGCATCTGATCTCAGAATCAGCAGAGCAGAAGAGTTTGGAGATGTTGAAAGCAGATTACAACAAGACTGACTTATCTAAAAGAGTATGAAGTCCAGAGAGGAGTTCCCAAATTAGGGAAACATGGGCCAATACAACAGCAGAACTCCTGGGATCCATGAAGTGCAGTCCAGCTTCTCAGGGTCACAAGACAATTTATGCACTTACTTTTATGATATCAAACACTACTATGTGTTGCTCCCGAGTCTGTTGATCTTCTCCAGAGATCCAGGGGAATAAGGAAACTCTTGACATTTAGCTTGAAGGCAAGGAAGAAATCACTGTCATTCTAATAATTATCTGAGAAGGAGGAGCTTCTTGGTCCTCCCTGCAGGGTGAGCTGGGATCCAGCTGGAGAAGTCCTGATGTAACTCAATGTAATGGATTCCCAGAAAGCATCCAAGACCAAATTGCCCTGGGAGCATTTGGGACACCTATCATTCTGCTTAGTTGATTTCCAATTGGTTTTCTTTCATGATATCATATGTGACAGATTTATTGTATGATGTTGTAGTTTTGATATGATGAAGTTGATTCTGTTACCTTTTTATTGTGGATTTTTGAACTAAATGATGTTGATGCTGCCTTAGACTTACTGTGCATTCTTTAATGTTCAGACCTTTATGTTATAGGATGGATGCTTTATTTATATAGTGGGTTGTCATACACCTGTCTGGAGTTGACAACATAAATAAAATAAATACCCTTCTATTCGCCCACACATCAATTACACCTCTTTTTCCCTGGAAGAGTCAAAGTGTCAAAGTAATGATTTAAGAGCTGACCAGCTGCTATGATGATGTAATACTGGGAATGAGTTGGCAAGGTGTTTTGGCTGATATCACTTTAAGAGCTGATAATAAGAAGAGGCCCTGTTGAGATGTATCTCTCTCTCCATGTGTGCTTCTGTGCTGTAATTGCTGATTGCTGTTTATTTGAGGTCTGATTAAAGTATGTGTATGTATATATTATTTGTAGATAAAACAACTATTTCAATACAACCTCTGTTTACTGTATTTGCTCCTGGGTTGTCTCACATAGTCACACTGTGAGCACTCTGACACAAAGAAAAAAGGATTCCAAGAATCTTCTCCCGTGCAATAAAATCTCAGAGATGTTCAACATAAGACATCTCTGGTTCTCGTATGGATCCAATGGATGGAGGACTCTCTCTGAACCCCTCTGCCAAAATGAAATCTGATGTGTAGCATTGTTCTCTGGGTCTTAAGGACTTTGTTTCCATAACTGTCCATTGCAAACCACAGTGATAAAGTAATGACATGGGCATCATGGTGTCACCATACAACTTTGGCCTTTTGTACTTGTATCTTGAGATCAGACCAGAGGTTTGCATGATGATACCACGAGGAACTTTTTCTCAGTCTGACCCTTTGCCTTTTCCCCATATATCTGCAGGGGTCAAAGGCAGAAGCAAGTGGTAAAAGGTGAATCCTAATTGTGTGATACAAACTTCTCTTCTTATATATTTTCAGGCGATGGTAAGATCCAAACATGTTTTGTCATGCTGGTCATATTGTGGTTAGAAATGAAGACCTTAGTTTTTATGGGATTCCAAAATCCTGTGTATTCTAGATATGGGAAGCTGTGGAATTATCACCTGCTAAATTAAGAGAAGAAACCATTGTTTTGTCTTCCGTGTTTGGTGCATTCTGTACCTTGAGCACTTCAGCCCCTTCAGGAGGCTGCTGAATGATAACTTCTAGGATTTCTCAACACTGGTCAGGCTGCCTGGGAGCAATGAAAGCTGTGATTCAGCAGCCCATGGAAGGCCAGAGACTTTCTGTCAGTATATTGAATTTAGTAGCTTGAACAGTAACATGTACAACAGACCAGAACACATAGTTATAGTTGATTAGTTAGAGCAGGGGCATTAAACTGGTTCCCATGGGTCAGATGCATCACGTGCAGGCCACACCCAGCCCAGCCCTGCAAATGGGGAAAATGTCATGAAATGCCACCTGATGGCAACGTGACACAGCAAATTTGACACCCATGAGTTAGATTCCTGACTCATGTATGGAGAAGCTGTTTTTAGTGTCTTAAATCACCCTCGACTCTGCTCCAACTGACTAGTGTTTATCCCCACAATCCTCAATTTTACTTGGCGCTTGAGAATAGATCCAATGGCTAATTCTCAGGCTTAACTTATGCCTTCTCTTCATGCCCAGAGAGCACTCAATATATGACTAGCCAAGAATCCCTGTGTATCCTTCAAATTGGCCTAGCAGATACACTTGTGATGTCCAGATGCAGGATGAGAATGCAGTTGTGCTTTCCTGATTCCATTATTAGTGGAGACCATGGTGGTCAGCCGGGGTGGGTTTCTGCTCACAATACTGCTGGTTCAGTGTGTGCACAATTTGCACACATGCACAATTGCATGTAAATAGGTCTGAACGTTAAAAATGTGGGTGGGGAAATGCCGCAGTGACCAGGGAACTGGTTCGGAGGCATGGCGAGCCTGCCGTCCCTACTGGTTTGACAACCCAGTTGCCATTTCCACTACCGGTTCACCCGAACTGGTGCGAACCAGTCGCAACCCATCTCTGGTAGCCCAGAAAGACTCACATACTTAGAGAATGATTCAGAAGAAGGGGTTTGGATGTGAATGAGCTCAGCACCTCTCTGCTGTTCATTAATGCAGCCCTTTCCTCAGTCTTTCCATGAGCTCTCCACTTCAAGAAGCGAGCTCATGATGCAGGGTGATATTCAGATGGTTTGGATTGGTTTCGGCAAACTGGTAGTGGCAACCTGAAAGTGGGCCAGCCCACCTGCCTTGGCACTATGCTGTTCAATTTATCATGTTTTCTAAGCCATGCACATGTGTGCAAGCCATGCATGCAAGTGAAGCACATGCTTGGAAAGCCATTTGCACTTGTGTGCATCTTACAATTTTGATGTGATGTGAACTGGTGGTCACATTATGTGAAACCCATCTCTGATCAAATGGCTTTTCTATGTGAATGAATGCAAGCGGAGCTTATGTTACTTAGCTGAGAGGTGGCTATAGAAATTGGAAGAATGGATGAAGAGTAACAATTCACAACTAACACATTCATTGGAGCCAACTTTAGCTCAATGAAACACACGTGTCCAATATTTACCTTTTAAGGGAAGGAAGAGCTTACAGGCTCTTTACAGGCTATTTCCCAATAGAAAAACTGTCTTCTTCCCTTCTGGATTGGGTGGAAAACCAAGCTTCCAAATATATGCAAATGAGAGAGAGAGAGAGAGCCTGAGGCCCAGAAAGATCATTCTTATCTGCGATTTTGGGAACTGTTTGCTAAATCCATTGGATTTTATTGGAGTTGGGCAGCTATAATAAATTTAAATAAATAAAATACTCAACCAGACCAAATAGGTTTGAGTAAATGTGTCTTCTGACCTCACAGAACTAACTGAGATAATCTTCTATGCTCATGTTCTGGATAGAATTGCCTTACTTCTGTGATACATCAGTAACAAACCATTTTGGCAGAGGAATTGTGGGAGAGTTCCAGATCTGGAGCCAAATTCTACTTTCTTAATAGCTCATCTCACTGATCCGTGGTGGCACAGTGATTAAAATACAGTATTGTAGGCTAATTCTGCCAAATGGCAGGAGTCTGATTCTCACCAGTTCAAGGTTTATTCAGCCTTCCATTCTTCCGAGGTTGGTAAAATGAAGACCCAGACTATTGGAGGGGGGGATATGCTGATTCTATAAACCACTTAGATAGGGCTATAAAACACTGTGAAGTAGTATATACGTCTAAGCACAATTGTTATTGCTATCTCAAAGGTTTGGACTCCATCTGTGACTTCCACTTCATTGACATTATCCAAATTATAGTGATTTAGCTGTAGTCTTGGAGCTAATTCCCTAAAGACTTTTCTACACTCTTTCAGAAGAGTTGATTAAAAAAAAATATTAGCAATATATTTTCACCATGACCTCACACCAAAAGCCTTGTAGGCTGATCCATGGCACTGAAAATTCATGGGTGCATACATGAGTCTGGAGAGACGGAGATTCTTTTTCAGGCAGGAGGTTCTTTCTTCTCCCTGCTTCAGAAATAAACCCTAGGCTGAATTATTTCTGAAAACAAGAGAAAAGCTCTCTTGCAATTGTTCTTCTTACTCTTTGTTGGAATCACCTACAGGGTTGGAGGCTCCATCAGAAGCATATCATGTTGCTGTTTCTGCTGCTTCTGTGCCCCCAGAAAGTCTGGGGGATGCTTAAAGCCAGCTGTTCCCTGACGCTGCAGAGGGACGAGATAGACCCAAAGCACCATTACAGGCCAGGAGAACTTTCCATCGGTGGTATCATTTCTGCAACTCAGGCTACGTTTGAAACAAAAGATTTCAGAAAATCTCCCGTGACGCCAGTATTCATGTAAGTCAGTCTTCCATTACTGCATTAGAGCAACTTTATTTCTGAATTATTGAAACAATTCCAGCCATTGCATTGTGGCATTTCATCTTTGGGAATCTGTTTTGGATTCTACAACT